GGGGGTTCATCTGTCCTGGGTTCACTGTATTTCCGGTTCCTATCTGTGCATGGCCCTTCTTGATACTCACCTTCACGAAATGATCACGGAAGATAAGGGTGCTATAGCAAAGTATGGTGAAGAAAGTAGATGGTAGATGGTGCCCAGCTATCAATCGGAATAGGTCTTGGGTCTTAAAGGGTGGTGTTCAAATAAGCAGTCATCTAAGTGAGGAGTCAACTACATCCACACAGAAGAAGAAAACCAGCTTGTGTGATCCAAAGATGACAATTACAAAATTTGAATATGGTGAAAAGAAAGTAGCAGAGTTAAAATTACGAACACCTCATTTGTAGAAGGCCATGGAGGACAGTGGGAGCCCAAAACCCATCTGCAGAGTATCTAGTCAGACTGAACTGCTGGCAGATCCGCTGCAGCCACAGGCAAGAGCCCTGAACAACCTTACTATTAGCAGAGACCATGATAATCTTGATGATGCTGGATTGAACTTGATACTTGGCCAGTTGACCTCCCTATAGACACGACCTGAATTTGTCCTCGGTGCAAGTATCTCTTAGCTGTTCCATGACAGAAATTACTTCCCTGGCTTTTTGAATATTAATGGGGGTCTTTTCCTTCTTACTCAATATTTATATTTTTGTCTTTATGCTAATAAGATCTTATCTTTATCACCTTAGTGCAATTTGCTTTTTATTGCCTTCTGTGGGGTCTCCCAGGTGTGCAGCACAGGAGGAGTGGATGCATCATGATGATAACTGATGTAAGGGGATGTCGGGGATGCAAGTGTGGTGGGGCATCAGGGGAGGGAATCTTGAGAGTAGATGGTGAAGGTAGGAGGGGGAGGGAGCCCCAGAGGTGTGTGATTACACAGCTCCTTTTCAAGGAGATTTTAAACAGGGGGCGGGGGCAGGGGAGATGCTCTGAGATTGATGTGCTGGTGATTGTACAATTCCCCTTATTATGATCGAATGATTGAATTATTCAATGCTATGCTAGGTAAATTATGTGCTAATAAAACTGTTAGGGGGAAAAATGAAGGTGGGAGGGAGTAGGGAGCACTAGAATTTATTGTGATTGCCCAATTCATTTTAGGGGCGTTTTAAGCATGGTTGGGGAATGTTCTCAAATTGATGTGGTGATAATCATACAATTCTCCTTGATATGATTGAATGATTGAACTGTTGAATTATATGTGACTTATGTGCCAATAAAACTATTTAAAGAAAGTCTATCGAGAAAAAAGTCACAGTCCACTTTATTCCAGCCACACCCACCTTCTGTTGCTTAACACAATGAATATAAATGAATTTCCCTCCATTAAAAAAAACAAAACAAAACCACCAAAAACCTGTTGGAATTAACTCAATGGCAGGGAGTTTGAGTTTTTTGAGGGGGACAAAACAAAACAACTGTACCTTTCCACAACAGTTTCCTATACAACTTCATCCCAAATAGGCACTTCAAATCTGATTTATCCTTCAGAAGTTTGGTCAACTTCCACTTCTCTTATTGCCTGGACACCTTCCAAATGATAACCCCAAACTGATATCTTTCCAATGGCTTGAGGATTACTCAAATTGCAAGAGAATCCAACAACTAACCAAACCTAAAAACAAACCACCCATGTTCATCAAATTAAGTAAAGCTCACAAAGACCCTGTAAGCCGGGGTAGAACTGTCCCGTAGGATTCCCAAGGCTGTGCGTCTACGCAGCCGACACATCTTTCTCCCATGGAGAAGCTGGTGTGTTCGAACACCTGACCTTTGGATTAGCAGCCAAAAGCTTTAATCACTGTGTAACCAAGGCTCCTCCAACCATTAACAGAGGATTTTCAAGCATGGTTATAAGGAAATGAGAACTGATTTCTTTTGCTTATAATCTTACAAAAAGGAATTATTTTTTTTCTGTAAAAGAGGCCTATCACTTTGTATTGGGTTGGTCAAGGGGTCATTTTGTAAGAAATGAAGCATGAAGGAGAAGGGAAAGGTGGGATAAGAGAAAAGGGAATTCACATAAAGCAATGACATACGAGCATGCAAAGAAAGCAGTAGGGAATACACAGAGGATGTGGGAGTTCAGTGAACAGTCTCCTGAAAACAGCAGATGTTTTGTAGGATTAAGGAGAAGCTAAATGTAAGGTGAGGCATTTGAACTATGGTGTGGTGAAGAACATTGAAAGTACCATAAACTGCCAAAAGAACAAACAAAACTATCCTGGTAGAAGTACAGCCAGAAGGTTCCTTAGAAGCAGGGTGGTGAAGAGATGATGATGTACTTTGGACATGGTATCAGGAGAAACTAGGTCTGGAAAAGAACATCACACTAGGTAAAGCAGAGGGGCAGTAAAGAGAAGGAAGTCCTTCAACAAGATGGACGGACATAGTCGCTGCAACAGTGCGTTTCAGCAATGGGTAAATGTTGCTGATGAGGGAAACCCAAGCATCTAAAAGAGGGGAGTGGCTTAGAGATAAGACAGAAGAAGATGGGCGTGAGAAATATTTTTTTAAATGACTATTAGATAATACAAGGAAGGAATCATAGGTAATGCTGCAGTTTCAAGTCTCAGACTGGCAAAAATGGTACTATAACATTAGGCTGTTTACTGAAAGGTTGGCAGTTCAAACTCCCCAGGCGCTCCATCAGAGAAAGATGGGGCAGTCTGCTTCTAAAGATTTATGTCTTGGAAACCCTATGGAGCAGTTCAACTCTGTCCTATAGGGCTGCTATGAGTCAGAATCAACTAGACC